CTGACTCCTATTATTTACTTCTAATAGCATCTCATCCCTTTACTTAAGTCACTTGTTGCAATTTGTGTTGTGTTATTTGTGTGCATGTGTTTTTCAAATGGTCTGCGTTCCTCTGTAGAACTAAATTCTATGAGAACATGGAACATAGCTGTTTTGCTCACCACTGTACCTCCAGCACAATACCCAGTAGACATCCAATAAATATATACTTATTCAGCAAACGAATGAATGACTAAAGACATAGAGCTAGATTCTCAGATAAAGGGCAAGGTCCCACATTTTCCTCTGGCTGGAGCGATGGACGGTCCAGCGTTGGGAGACCAACATCCTACACGGTGCGGTAGGTACAGAGCAAGTCTAGCCCTGAGCTAGGGTGTGGATGCCCTTCCCTAACATTTTCTGGGTGTCTTTTTTGCAGAGGCGAGTGGGGAGTGGAAGAAAGGCAGAGTTTTGTAACAGAAGTATAATACCCAGCTTTTGACATGGCAGCTCTGGAGTTTTGGAGCACATTTGCCATGAGAGCAGATTTGGACTGGGAAGCAAGAAGGCCAGATATCTCCTAGGTGCAGTGGAACAGGTATGTGCCTGTCCTGACAGACTGGGATTCACCCCTTGGCTCTATTGTTTACTTGCTATATGACCTGGGGCAAGAAGGCTAACCTCTCTGAGCTCAGCTCCAGCTCTGAGCTCCTCCCGCCTATTCATCTGTAGAGAGGGAGCAATTACTCTCCCCTGTCAGGGTAGCTGCGGGGATTAATGAGATAATGTCTGTAGAGGGCCTAGCAGAATGTCTGGCATATAGTAGATGCTTCATAAAAATAAGATCTCACGAGGTGGTAAACATCCTGCAGGCAGGGGCCATGTAGCACAGAGTAGATGCATTAGGAAGTCTTTATTGATGATTTCATAAATGGTCGAATGTATTTTCCTTTTCCAGAAAGGATTCCCTGCGTGTAAAAATTTCTCCCTCACTTAAACCAATTGCTTTCTTTGTGAGCAACTCAAATCCCTGTGTTTTGAAACCTCAGAGCTGGAGGGTTAGTGTGTATATTTGTGGCGGTGGCCCCGTCCTGAGTCATCTCTGAGACCCTCACCCTCCCCAGTGTTCTTGTGGGAGGCAGGAATTCATCAGCCCCAATTTGAATGAGAGGAGTACAGAAACAAATCAGTGCAGAGAGATTCCTATTTGGTCCCAGTACTATGAGAACACAACTGTTTCTTTGAAATTGACCTTCATTTATTTGGAGGGGAAAGCAGTTAGTTCAATAATGGCTTCCTGGTGCCTTTCAGCATTTTAAAAGACGGAAGAAAGATTTGGAGCGAGGCAAGGTTCCAGTGTTTTCTAAACAACGCACTAAGCCCAGCTACCAGTTGGCTGCCCAGTACTTCCTGCTCGCCTACCCCCCACCCCCCCAATGTATCCCCACAAGGCAATGCACATCCCTCAGTAGCCCAGCCACTTCTCAAGACCCTGGCCAGGTCTTCCCTAGGTAGGTGGGAGCTAGCCTTCATTATAATGCCTGGGAGCCAAAGATTCCTTGGACATCTTGCACATGGCCTACTGCGTAGAAATGCTACTATATTATATTCCAATTATTTCCTGTCCCTCCAAGGCCCGATTCCAGGGCCTGAATAAAGAGGTCCTTGTCTGGTGGTGTCCATCTCTGCTCCCTAGTAAGGAAAAGCTGGTCCCTGGCCCAAGTTGGCCTGAGGCCACAGGGGAAGGGTGGGGAAGAGGTAGGGAGGGTGTTACAGGTGGGGAGAACTACACAGGAGACGAGAGACCCAGCCCTGCGGGCAGCCCAGTCCTGCTCCCAAAAATAAAAATAAGTGAGGAAGGAAAACAAATGGGGCCCCTGACCAGGACCCTGCAGAGGGCATGACTATTTTCCCTCCTTCCCAGGAGGGATCCCAACCCTTCTCACCCACAGAGAAGACAAACACAGCTATGGAAATCTCATGCCATCCAGGCACCTGGAAGTCTGTTGCTAATTGCAAGTTACTCCTACCTGCACTTCTCTGTTTGCCAATGATTGTCTTCCCCTAGATCTGCTTTCTCCCCTTGTGAGTGAAAAGCATTTCATGGAAAATTTCGAATTTGGAACCTTCTTCAGATTCCAAAAGAGTTATTGTTCTACATCATGCTTATTTTGTTTGGGTGTTATTTGAACTCAGGGGAAGTAGAAACCCACATCTTCATGTTGCTGGGATGCTCTTCTTAAATTATTAAAAACATGCTGATAAAGCACCTTTTCTGTTTGAAGCTCTTGAGTACTTTTCAGAGTCCATCCCAACCAAGGCCTGGAGTCCATATTTCTTACCTGCCAAGTGTTGGGCAGCCAGGGGAGAGGAGGTGGGTGAAGTAGCTTAGGGACTGCACACCAGGAGATCTCCAGGAGATAGTGGCAGGGATGTGCAGAAAGGTTTCATGGCAAGGAGAGGAGAAACAAGCTCTGAGGGCAAGCCATGGAATCCAGGGTTAAGGCCTCAGAAGGTCATAAACAGAAAGGGAGGACAGGTGGGGATAGTGTGAATGACATGAAACCGAGGATGAGTTTGAAGAGCAGGACCCACAGAGAAGTCACATCATCCTGCACCACCACGTGTCTGGGGAAGGGCTAAGCTTTGTTGAGTTTAAACCTTGGTGTCTAGGATGCTGGAGCCTGAAGGGAACTGATTGATCCCCTGGCCAGCGATTCTCAAAGCCTGGTCTGTGGACCGCCTCTTCAGAATCACCTGGTGGGCTGGTTAAACATGAGGATTCCCGAGACCTATCTGATGTACTGAATCAAATTCTCTGTGGGTTATATCTAAGAAGCTGAATGCTTATCAAGTTCCACAGATGATTGTGATCTTTATTAAAGTTTGAGAGCCCTTGATTTAGTCCAGCCCTCTTGTTCCCTGAAAGTGAGATCTGAAGCCCAGAGATGTAAAACAAGCCTAGGATAACAGAGCTGATTGATGGCAAACTCACATTAGAAATCTATTGGTCTTGAACCCCAGGGCAGTGCTCTTTCCATTTCAGCATGTGGGCAGCCTCTTCACCTATTTGGACCTGTTTCTCTTGCCCCCTAAAGTGAAAGTTTGCACCTTTGATCCATTCCCTGCATCCTGCTGGGGCCTTCTCCTTCCTGAGGATGCTCTGGTCCTAGTCTCTATAGGTTGGGGGGCAGAGGCAGAAAGAAGAAAGGAGAAGGACTCAGTTCTCTTCTGAGCCTTTAGTCACAGGTGTGGGATGGTCAAATGAGTAGAGAAAGAGAAAACACAGCTGTAGCTGAGGGACGACTGGGATCTGGTTTGTAGTACTAAGCTGACTTTCACTGAGATTTTGCTGTGCACCAGACACTGTGTTAAGTCCTTTCCATGCATTAGTGCAAACCCCATGGAGCAAATAGTAATTAGCCCTATTTTGCAGATGGAGAAACTGAGACTCACAGGTGAGTGTTCATTTGCCCAAGGTCACATAGCTAATACATGACCAAATCACTTCCGTGTACAACCATGATCCAAAGCAGTGTGAACTATTACTCACTTTAACCCAACAAGCCTGCAAAAGGACCCCAAGACCTTGGGGGAAAAAAAAAAGCTTCTCTGCAGTGAGATGTGACCACTCCTGGGAGGGGGGTGGGGTGGAGTACAGCTTCAAACACTTTCCACGTAATGCACTAAAATTTGTTCTGAAAGGCATTAACTTGCAAGCCTGCCTTGGAAATGACAACATGGAGAGTAGGTTAAACAGGTTTTTTTCTTCATCTTTGAAAAATGGAAACTCCTAATCTCAATTTGCTTTCTTTCCATTTGCCCCTTTCTCTTAAAAGCAGTGTGCCTTCAGAATTTTAGTTGTTTGAGGGATTATGTTCAGTTCTAACTGAGCCCTGGGTGTGATTGCAGGCATATATATGGTTGTGGCACGTAGCAGCCGTTACCTCTTCTGATATCATGGCACATGACTTTGCAATGATCACCTCCCTCCATTCATTTTCCGGAGTGTCTCCCAGGGACAGGAGAGGAACCCAAAGCAGGTCAGTGCCTTAGAGAAGGGACAAGTGTTTCCCAAGCCATGTGGACAGCATGTCACAGTACCTTCCTGTAGATTTACCTCCTAACCAGACCTTGTCTTCTTGGGAAAAAATCAGGAAGCTTTTTGAACAACTTAGTCAGACCATTAAACAAAAGAAGATGGACATATTTTTATAGGAGAGGAAGAACTCAGTTTCATCCTAGCAGGATTTGGTGTCTGGTAGCTGAAGGTGAGGGACCACTCTAATTTAAATCTGGGTATTCCATGAATCACCAGAGTTAGAACATTTCTGGGTAAAAACTGAAAACATGTGACCCTCCGGGTGTCTTCCTTCTCTTTCAAATCTCAAGCTTTAGTAACTCAAAGGCTGGATGGGGCCGTGCAGCTGTTAAAAGGCCCTTATTAACTCATAATGAAGGGAGTGCATTGAGGTGATAGCAAGCGGTAAAGGGAGGGGGGGAGAACGCAACCTCTGCAAAGCTCATGGGGAGCGTGGGTCTCTGCAAGAGCCCTGGAAATGCTGAATGAAAACTGCCTTTCTGCGTACGAGCCGCCTGCCTGCTTCCCAAATGCCGCGTCTGCGGTAACTACAAACTATTTTGTATGCTGCATTAGTGACGCTGCCTTAGCCCGCACATCATTACTACTGAGATAACGCTGGTGTGATGTTCAAGTCCAGTGTCCTTTTTAATTATTAAACCGATGCTGTTGAATGAGTCATTCCACATACCAGATTTTCCTCCTGTGGTTCTATTTCAAGAGACTAGCGCCTTACTTAGTGTGTTCCACTAACACCTGAGTTGGTTCTTAGCCAGCTACCCAATCTGCAAAGCCTTTGCAGAACAAACAGTATTCCCCAGGCTCCAAACACACACAGGCTGCATAAAAAACAAACCCCACGAAAAACTTTACAGTAAGCTCGTCAGTAAACCCCAGATCTGAAAACGCCCTGTTCCCCGTCCGCCAGTCCCCAACTTACCAAGTGGCAGAGCGATGAAGAAGGGTAGCCAGCACAAGATGAACATACCGACCACAATGCCCAAGGTCTTGGCTGCTTTCTTTTCCCTGGAGAACTTAAAAAGTTTGACAGCTATGGAACTCCTGGGGTTGTGGCCCTTGGCCTTGGTACTGCTGAGGGTGTCCTCATGAAAGTTCTTGGAGTGGATCCTCAGGGTCAGCTCCTTGGAGTTGGACATCTCCTTCATGACTCCGGCCTCCAGGTTCTTGGTGGTCCTCTTGGCAACGATGTACACGCGACAGTACATGACCAGAATGACTGCCAGAGGGATGTAGAAGGAGCCCAGGGAGGAGAAGAGGGCGTAGAAAGGTTCTTCAGTGACCCCACATTCTTTGTCATCATTGGGCGCGGGCTCCTTCCACCCAAGGAGAGGCCCGATGGAGATGACTGTGGACAAGACCCAGACGCTGAGGAGCGCCAAGATGGCCTTCCTCCGGGTGACCAGCGTGGGGTACTGCAGAGAGTAGCGCACCCCAATGTAGCGATCGATAGAGATGGCGCACAGGCTCAGAATGGAGGCCGTGCAGCACAGGACGTCCACGGCGGCCCAGATGTCACAGAAGACCCGTCCCAGCACCCAGTAGCCGAGCACTTCCAGGGCCGCCGAGAAGGGCAGCACGGTGAAACTCAGCAGCAGGTCGGCAATGGCCAGGTTGACGATGAAGTAGTTGGTGGGCGTCCGCAGGTGACGGTTGCAGGCCACCGACAGGATGACCACGATGTTGCCCACGATGGCAAAGAGGATGAAGGCGCCCAGCACCAGGCCCACGGAGATGGCCCTGGTGATGTCCAGCTGGGGCAGTGTGGAGTTGCTCGAGGTCTGGTTGGGGCCAGTGAAGTTGGCATTTTTCAACTCTCCCCAGTGGGCAGGTGCTGATGTGTTGTGGCCGGTGTCCAGATCGGGATTCATTTTAGAGTCGGCCCTCCATAGCCTGGGGTGAGCGGGGCTGGAAGGGCTGCGGCCGAGCTCCTCAGCTGCCCTGCAACTTTGCTTCGCCCGCGGTCTTCTTCCCAGAGGCGCCCTCCCGGCGAGGACTCATCTCCCCCCCGGGCAGCCCAGCCCCGGCGGCGCGTCTCCTGCCTGCACCGAGCCGCCCGCTCGCCCGGCTGTCAGAGGGAGGCGGAGGAGAGAGGGGCCGAGGCGGCAGCTCCAAGTTTAATGGTCCACGTCAGGCGCGCCGGGCCGGCCAGGCGGGGAGCGGCGCGGGAGGGGCGGCGGGCAGGGGGGCGCCCGGCTCGGCTCGGCCCGGCCGGCGGCGGGTGTGCGGGCAGCGGCGCCCAGCGCAGCCAGCGCCGAGGAGGGTCTGCTCGCAGCCAGCCGCCTCTGGGCTGACTGCACGGCGGTGACATCAGGCGGGGGAGCCCGGCGCCCTGACTCCGCGCGGCACTAGGGGGCAATGCGGGTCCGGCGAAGGCGCCCGCAGCCCCGACGCCGCCACCCTGGGCAGCCCTGGGCCGGCCGCGCTCCCCGCCACCCTCCCCCACCGACCTACGCGAGCCAAGGGATGGGAGGGGGAGGAAGGGTGACCTGAACTTGGGGAGCCCCGTCCCCCATCCTGAGGTGGCCCGCTGGGATTCTTGCCCCTCCTGTTCACCCTTGGGTCTCAAAAGTGGCGTGGGGTGCTTACCGCTCCTGGGGGAGGGGGCGTCTGGAATCAGCACCCAGATTTAGGGGGATAGGCAACTTGTGTGGAGCCTGAAAGAAGAATTGCCAGGTTAAGCACCAGGTGAGAGGGACTTGAGTGGGATCGGAGACCAACCCCCAGCCTTTACCTCCCTGGTAAGCCCAGAGGCTTCTCTTCGTTCATTCGTTTGTTCACTCACTCACTCACTCACTTGTTCATTCAACTAATTGTTAACCGGGTACCCACTGCCTGCGCTGGGGACATAGCAATTGAAGCAAGTGGACAAAGACCCCTGCCCTCTAAGAGCTTCATTCTACTGGGAGGAGACAGACAATAAACAAATAAGTAAGCAAATTGCGAGGTGTGTCCTATGTTGACAAGTGTAACAGAAGATAAAGCAAGGAGGGGAAATGGAATGGTGTGTGTGTGTGTGTGTGTGTGTGTGTGTGTGTGTGTGTTGTGGGGGCAGGTATTTGGAATTATAAATGGGTTCCCTGGATGTCACTGAAGTGATGTTGGAGTCAAGACCTGAAAGAAATGAGGAACAAGCCAATGGGCTATTTGGGGGTGAGGGTGATGGTGGTGGTGGCAGCATTAAGAGACCTCCAGACATCTGAGGAAGGGACTTGGGAAATCCAGATTATTTATTGATTTTTTTCCTTTTCTGTCTGATATCCATGTTGGACAGTTATAGGGATACACTTCCAAAGGTGGGCATATGGTGCTTAGGAGAGAAGAAATGTGCTGAGAGAGAGCCTTACGTTGGTTAACATTTTTTCGACACTTGTTATGTCCCAGACAGTATGCTAAGTACATTTTGCATTTTCTGATAATCATAAGAAAGAATGGCTGTTCTCATCATCATTTCCATTTTGTGGAAGGGACAAGGTACAGTGAAGTTCAGCTCTGCCCAAGTCCACATAGCCATCATGGAGAGGAGCTAGGAATTGAACTCAACTCTACAGGTCTGTTGCGAGTTGAGCGTTTAGCAGCTGTGTCACCCTTTTCCCCTGAAAGCACTGTAGGGGGTGGATTTATTTCCCTAGATTTATTGCGAAATAATTGACATAACATTGTGTGAGTTTAAGGTATCCAATGTGTTGAATTGATGTATTTAGATATTGCAAAATGATTATCATCATAGCATTAGCAAAGATCTTCATCATGTCTTTCTTTCTTGCATAAATACCATTTCTTTCTTGCAATGAGGACATTTAAGATCTACTTTCATAGCAACTTTCAAATATATAATATAGCATTATTAGCTATAATTACCATGGTGTACCTTAGATCCCCCGAACTTACTCATCTTATAACTGGAAGTTCATACCCTTTGATCAACATCTTCCCATTCTGCTATCCCCAACCCCTGACAATCACCACTCAACTCTGTTTCTATCAGTTTGGCTTTTAGATTCCACATATAAGTGATATCATAGTTTTTGTCTCTCTCTGTCTATCTTACTTCACTTAGCATAATGCCTCAAGTTTCATCCATGTTGTAGCAATGGCAGGATTTCCTTCTTTCTCTTGACTGAAATAATATTCCATTGTGCATGTGTACTCTGTATTTTTTATTCATCCACCAGTTGATGGACACTTAGATGGTTTCCATCCTTGGCTAATGTGAATAATGCTGCATGAACATGGAGGTGCAGGTAGCTCTTTGAGGTCCTATTTTCCTCCTCCTCCTCTTCTCCTTCTCCTTCTCCTTCTCCTTCTCCTTCTCCTTCTCCTTCTCCTTCTCCTTCTCCTTCTCCTTCTCCTTCTTCTTCTTCTTCTTCTTCCTCTTCTTCCTCTTCTTCTTCCATGTTTATTTATTTTTGAGTGAAAGAGAGAGTGTGAGCTGAGGAGGGGCAGAGAGAGAGGGAGACAGAGGATCTGAAGCAGGCTCTGGGCTGTTGGCACAGACACCAACGTGGGACTCAAACTCACAAACTGTGAGATCATGACCTGAAGTCGGATGCTTAACTGCCTGAGCCACCCAGGTACCCCAAGATCCTATTTTCATTTGCTGTGGATATATATCCAGAAGTGAAATTGCTGGATCATGTGGTAGTTCTATTTTTAATTTGGGGGGGAACCTCCCTATTGTTTTTCAAAGTGACTCTACCAATTTACATTTGAGGAAGGGAGTGGATTGATTGTTGTAGAGAGAGCTATCTCCCAAGTAGAAAATTTTGAGACCTGAGTGACTAGTACTATAAGGGTACTCACATTTATTGAGCTCCTACTGAGAGCCAAGCATTTACTTGTTTTTGTTTATTCTTCACAACAATCCTTTGAGACTGAGTAACCATTGTCCATTGAGAGATAAGAAAACTGTGGTTCCAAGAGATTTGGTGCATTCCTGAGGTCATGTGGCTAGTAGACATGTGGCAGAGCAAAGTAGTGACAGCCATAGATTGAAAAGTAAAGTTTGATGCCATTGTTTACTCTAGTCCAGAAGCTTGAACCTAGGGCTTCCCACTGTCTACCTTTGATAATTACTAAAACCTGATATTCAGGGGTGGGGAGCCAGAAGAATGCTCAGGGTGATTTACATTTAAGTCCTCAACCTAGAGGTAGCATCTTAACCTCTTTTTTTATTTTATAAACATGTAATAATAAATATATAAATACATATATGTATGTATTTGGGGATCAGGGGGTTAACGCACACCTATCCAAGGTTTTAATCTAAGGCTTTAATCGTCTCCTCCCACCAAAATGCAGAGATTCTCACATGCACAAAATACACGGTTTCAAGAGGTTCCCTGAAATTAAGAAATGTGTGGTAGGGGCAACCCTGAAAACAGATTCCCCCCCCCCCCATTTCAATTAAATTTGCTGAAGTGGGTATCTGAAGATTCTAAAAATCTGAGAAACACAGGTTTAAGGTGATTTAGCTCTTCAAGAGCTATCAGAACTTGCCCTTGCCCATCTTCCCATTGTGGTGGTCTAGGAGGCAGAGGGAATCGGTAAACTCCCGTAGATAGTCATGTGCCGAGCTGGTTATCAAACTCTAGTTCCCCAGCCCACAGAACGGTGTTCCTTCCTCTGCCCCAAAGGGAAGCCACACATGATATCCACTCATGACTTGGTTCAGGTATCAGAATGTGGAAGAGATTATTGAGCCAGATCAAAAGGTTCAAAATCTGTGCATATTTCAGACATGATGTCATTTACCGGTGTCTTTCACGAGGTCAAAACAAACATCCCACCCAAATGCAAACAGGTAGGTAGGTATTAGTCTTAAAAGCAGCCATGTACCAGGACCCCACTAAGTAACCTTTGCTAATGGTCCTTTCCTTGCTGCTCCTCCCCTCCCTTCACGGGAGATACCTCTTAACCCCTCTGGCTGATATCTGACCCATGGAATTGACCATTTGTTTAGGTGTCATGAGGATACAGGCTATATTTCATTTTCTCGGTACTCTCTGGGGCAAAGCCAAGCATAGAGCTCTGACTCACTCGAGGCTTGGGGAAGAAGAACCTTTTCATTATCCATCTGATTACATTACAAACCTCTGATGTTGCAAGCTCCCATTTTTGTGAGCCCTCTAGGAGAAGCTGCCATTGAGTTTGACCTGTGGGGAGACAAAGGCTATGCAAGGTTCTGAGATCAGCTTGGAGGCTCTATGGGAGGAGACCTCTCACCTGTGACCAGGCAGTTTTACATGGTACTCCCTCTCTAATTCTCTACAGTTTTCTTTTCTTTTCTTCTTTTTTTTAAATTTTAAATGTTTGTTTATTTTTTGAGAGAGAGAGACAAAGTGCAAGCAGGGGAGGAGCATAGAGAGAGGGAGACAGAATCTGAAGCAAGCTTCAGGCTCCAAGCTGTCAGCACAGAGCCAGATGTGGGGCTCGAACCCACGAGATGTGAGATCATGTCCTGAGCCAAAGTCGAATGCTTAACCAACTGAGCCACCCAGGCACCCCTCTCTCTGTAGTTTTCAACTCAACCATCCACGTATGGGAACATCTGCTCTGTGTAGGGCACCATGCTAGGTGCTGTGCGCAAATCAAAGATGAATTAAATCAAGCAAGCGATAACCTAGCACTGAGCTAGGTGCTGTGAGAGAGGATGATTTGGTAAAGCACCCCTCAGAGAGTACCTGCTGTGTGCCAGGCACTGTGCAAGGCACTCCACGTGCATTTACTCAAATCTTCACAACAATGCAAGGCAAGAATTGTACCCATTTTTCAAGCCAGGAAACTGAAGTTCAGAGAGGTTCATTCACTGAGTAAGCAGCATTGGTATTCGAAGCACTGTTGTCTGGCTCCAAAGCTTGCATCCTTCTCT